GGCCTTGCCAAACCCTCGCGGAAAATGTACAGGATGGCTAAAAAGCATGGTATGGTATGTCGCACGGCTAACTTATACAGCAGTGAGTGCTCAGGGAAATGCGCTAGATGACTGTCAGGCTGTGCACTTCCATTGAAGCTTATCGCACAATGTGCGTGAGTAGCGTAGTAGGCGAGCTTAAGTGGTACATGATACATGAGTCTGTAAAGATCCAATGCTGGTATCGAATTGAGATAGTTGAGCAGTCATAGGTTTTGTTGTGCAGGTATTATTGCTCCTAGTCTTGATATGGAGAAACAACATGCTAATTCTCCAAGCATTTAATGCTCACCTTAACAAATGTAAACATTATTCGGAGATCCACATGCTCAGCTTTTCAATAAATTTCGCTTCCCTTAGTGAAGGACTAGGAACAAAACACTCCTTTGCGGGTACAACAGTTATTAACTCGACTCATTGTGCACTCAATTGCCATCAAATTGTATTAACGTCGTCATCGCTCATTACCACTTTCTGTCACTTAGCGTCAAGACGCTGCTGCCATTTGTAGGTCAAGGTGATGCATTATAAGACGTGTGACGAACTTGGATAGATTTCCATTCAAGAATTCACAGATTTTATCAGACATAATCATACCGCATACCATCGATATGTTGTCCCAATTCACACAACACGTGCAGGAACATTCGCTCTACTTCCACCGCTAAGAAAGCAACGAAGTCGGCGTATCTTACATTTGGACACCTCCAGCTCCCTATCAGCTCTTATCTGACATGCCATCTACCATTCACCATCTGTGTGTCCTTCGCACTCCCTATGTCATATGCATGAACCAAAGTTTTTATTTATTTATTTATTCGGCTATTGTTTACAATTGGAGTACAGGAATACATATGTAATTATTGAAGTACAGAATGACAATAGTATAAGCAATAGAAAAATTGATAGAAGATTGAAGTTCCACCGCAAAAAGCATGATAGTAGGTGACGGTGCTCAAATTTTTATAATCTCTCATCGGACCTTTACTAGTAACTTTCTATCACTCACCATCTGTGGCGGACCGCCTTAAAAAGCGGAAAAAGGTTCGTAAGAAACAACGACAACCAGCGTTGTTACTACACGTGCAATGCAATTTGTGACACGTGTGTGCGACAGCCGTAACGCTTTACCTATATAATAGAAGGGAATACGTCCTGTTCTCAGAAATTTGAATCTGTTCTGATAACTGCACATTCCATGTAGCATACAAAGTTCATCTAACAAGAAATCCGAGAAACGATGGATGCGCCAGGCAGAAAAAAGTCGAAGTTCCTATGCTTGCGTTACGCATCCTGCAGGTTGGACGGTATCGTTGCGGTGCTACATTATGTAGGTAGTGAAGAAGTAACAGCCTCGTTGCTTGGAAGGAACGTCCTTAGCATCCAAACGCGATACGGCCGAATGAAATACAGAGATGTAAGAGGTGTTAACATTGGAGTGAATCCCATTATAACAAAGGAAAGATGTTCAGGGATCGGATGATGATAGATGTTCAGCAGTCCTGTCGTAAACATGATAATTGCAATTAGGAAAAAAACGGGCAGACAAGCCTGCACGGTAAGTGCCTGGAAGAAAATTTCGAATTGATGTCTCGTTGAAAACCTCGATACCAAAAGATAACATGTGCAATTCACTGGCAAGCCTATCCTTATTTTAATTATACCTGTAATTTAAACCTTTGGTAACTTCGGTTAACGAGCCGAATGTTTGTTTACATTGAAAGCAGGGGAATCAAGTATCCGTCACGAAAAAGGCGACAACAGAGATGCATATGTTGAGTGGATTATAAGTTCAGATGATTAGGTGATCTTTGCCGATTCGGTGGGCACCGCTACCATACGCAAGAGCAACTGAGTTACTTCTGTCTAATGGTTAACATGAAGTCAACATCCATATTGAAGTTGCGAACGTCGATCAAAAAGCGTCTACAGAAGCGTCGAGTGATCTCTAGGATGGTAGCTTCGGGTAGCAAGGCGTGTATAATATTTCGTCCGGTGCTGACAAATTGGGCATGGTGAAAGGCAGGCTAGGCTTGGCTGTGAGAGATAAACGACTTCTTTTTTCCTTCCATACTGCACAGATTCTAAGTGCATTAGAAATGCCAACCATTTCAGTTTTCCTGACTGGGATTCTTCTGTAATATTCGTTGGCTGATTCGCCGATGTTTATCTTTACCTCCTTCTGATCTGCGTAGAAAACGGAGGGGGTGGTGGACCAGTTTGGACTTGGAAGGCGAATACCTCGGCGGCACTCGAAACATTGATGTTCCATTTGAGGTGCAGTCTTCTAGCAATCCGACAAAGATGTCGCTGTCCCCTCAGATGAAAAATGCATCCAGAAGCATTCATAGCGACGGCAAAAAATCATTTTGAGTAAAAAAACGTGCCCTCACAACATGGAGCGTTTCTATCCAGTGCAGCTCGCTAGACTCCTCAGAAAGAATAAAACCAGAACATCTAGTATGACTCGCGGGGTCTGAGACGGAGGGGCAAACGGATTTTCGCTCTTTCAACAATTCCTTCGCAACCAATGTCGAATATATATTTTTAACCGTCATACCATAGTTATAGGTTGAAGCAGTCGTCCATATTGCAGAAGGATTTGTAGATCCTATCTTTATCACGCGTCTGCAAGCTTAGTAACTGCAGGAGTAGACATTTTTTGAAGTGTTTGACAAGCAGTTTCTGCTTTGCGGTCATCACCTGCAGTTGTACGAGATGGTTTGCCTACGACGGGCTAGCCAGAAGGTTTATTTGCTTTTATTCACAATGCAAAAACAAGGAAAATGAGATGCATGGCTTCTCGTGACGGGATGTAGCCTACATGGTTCACCACTGCACTCGAGAGCGGATGGAAAGTAACACACAGCCAATGAATGAAGTGGATGAACCTCCTCTGGCTCCGTACCGCCTCGTTACTCCCTTAGCAGTCGATTTCGTTTCCTTGTTCGTTGTGAGATTCTATAGCGCCTACAGCTTTATGTTTAATTCCTATTATCGATACAGTGTTGTCCTTAAACCTCAGCTTTGATGAGCTTTGAGTGTGAGGTTTGCGTGCCGTGAAAGTAGTTGCACTTATCCACTAACGATGAAACCCTCATGCCATAAGGCAAGAATGTGCGAGCTTTAAAAAAAACCAGTGACAGGATGCACGAGGGCATAACGAGGAACTAGAGTAAATGCTTTCAGTCACTCTACTCCCTTAGCGTACAAGCCAGGCAACTCTTTTCAGAAGGGTGCGTTAAAAATGGGAGGGCTAAAGTTACTAACAAGGGAAGGATGGTAGGTCGAAGTGGCCGTTCGAAATGAGATGTATACCACCTGATGCGTCTCCAGACGCTGATTCCAAATCTGCCTTCCAAATCTGCTAAACGACTCTCCGAACGGAGTTATGAAGCGTAATAGCTCAGTGGTGATGGTCCGGGGTGGCAGGTAAAAGCTCGTAGGATCGGTTCCTTTGCAAGTTTGTTGCTTTGCTTTTGTCCGCAACACTTCTAGAGAGACATTTATACTAGTTATTTCTTCAACTCTTGTCTATAATTGCCCAAGAGACTGCGAGCAGTTGCTGACAAGTTAGCCTCTGCTCCCGCATGACTGTTCTCTTCGCCCGTAGCGTGCGTGCCACACGTTTTCGCGCAAAACGAATCCGATATTCGTTATCAGAGTGCCAGCTTACCTCACAGAACAAATTTTCAGCATAATTTGAAATTTTGACCCAAAGATTGACCCAGTGGCTAAACTTGTCACTACTGCCAATCTCTATGTGCATTTAATCCAGGTGACTATTGGTGAAATAACGTGTATAAGTTTCTCAGAAATGTAGCAGATAAAAGCAAAGCAACAAACTTGCAAAGGAACCGATCCTACGAGCTTTTACCTGCCACCCCGGACCATCACCACTGAGCTATTACGCTTCATAACTCCGTTCGGAGAGTCGTTTAGCAGATTTGGAAGGCAGATTTGGAATCAGCGTCTGGAGACGCATCAGGAGGTATACATTTCATTTTAAACGGCCACTTCGACCTACCATCCTTCCCTTGTAAGTGAAAAATCTACCAAAGTCTACCAGTCTACTGAATTCGGTCTGTAGTTTGTTCTTATTTAATGGCAGCATTAATTTAATGACAGCACAGGGACATTACTGGTCCGTCATTCAAAGTCAAGGGAGCCCTTGTGATTCCGAGAATATCCAACTACCTATCTAATACCTAAAATCAAATCACAATATTTTCCTGATTATCCAACAGTACCTTCATGGGTATATGAACCAACCTGGAGAAGCTGCGACTGAAGACGACGAGAATTTTCGGAAATGGTTTTTTCGTTGACCAATTTTAAAATAGTTAATCTTCTGAGTACAAGAATGGCCACATAGGCTGGAGCGATTGGTAGCATCGAGTACAGGAAGGCAGGAAATGCCTTCCAACTGATTACGTTTACATGACCGCTAACGCATTCAGAACTCATGTCGTAACCAAATTTTGCCTCCACAGTTGTTCTCAACTCGGTTTCATCATCATTGGCGAAGGAGTAGATTGTCTAAAGACACGAAATAGATTTTACCTTTACCGAGTGGGATACGAGTATAAGGTAAACGGGCACATTTTACTCCAAGATAGAGTAATTGCTTTGAGAACATTCTAATCAGCGTGACGAATCCCTCTTCAAAGTAATTGGAAGCTCGGGACGCGGAACTCTAACTACGACCCTACTTCCAATGTACTGCCTTCGCGATCCCCATTTAAAAGCCAGAACTTCAGCGATGCAATAGGAAGTCACATTGGTGGAAGTACCGAGAATTAACAATTCCACCACAATGTTATGCTCTGGCCCTAATAAAGTATCCCGTTCCAACTACTGAGAGCCTCTCACTTACATCAACAGTGAGGTTTGTCAGATTACGTGATCTACGACAAAGTCTGAACTGAGGAACTCCAACAAACACCAACAACACAATAACATGTCTGCTCACAATTTCCGATACTTTTCAAAGTAAGGCGACTCTAAGTAGAAACTAAGTTGACTCCTATCAGATCTTCATAACAGCGCAGACTAGCCTCGACTGAAATGCCATCTAGTCTTCTTGCTGGCAGTCACCTAGTGCACAAGAACAGTGGCACAAATATCAAATACAACTCCCAAAGGCACTTAGAATTCATCTCACTACCTTTTTTCATGCACTTTTGCATCCACTCTTTGGGGTGTTAATTGCAAGTATCCACTGATAGGGTAATGCATATATGTATGTACTGATAGATAAGTGGTACCTGCAGTTTAATGAAACGAACTAAAATCTTCAGAATTTCCGAGACGCTCTAATGCCAGGTCTGAGTAGCCTTTCTTTGCAGCAAAAATTTGCATTCTGCATTTCCAAAGGGTAAGAGTGCATAACTAACACTCTAAATCTTTAATGTGGCAATGAAACTCTGCTGAATATTCTGCTCGTGTAAAGCAACTTTATCAACCTAGTAGGTCGTAATAACGAATATCACATCGTATCACAGAAAGCCCTGTACAAACTTAGAGGACACTCACAAACAGGGACAGCGAAGGCATATACATCAGGATAGTAATGAATATAACAGTGCTGCTCTTCGGCTTCCGATGCCATAAGACGTAATAACGATATGAGAAGGAGTAGACTAAACTCCATAGTCCGTGCGCATAACAATGCATCATCACGGCGCATCTACAAGGTGACTTTGGATTTATATGACTTGAAGTCAGTAGACTCTCGACCATGCTAAAGTGGAACTCACCCAATAAAGCAAGACAATGTCCCAAAAAATGTGCACGGTCCATAGGAAACAAAGAAAACACTAAAGCCACTAGCGATTATTCTGAAAATTGCCGGAAGATACGACATAGAACGAATGGGAGAAAAAGAGCGGAGATGGTTAGGAGGAGCTAACGAATAGGGAATCAGAAGCTGTCTGGTATAACATCAAAACTACAATTGCCTCTTATTCTTCTGACGTTGTTTTTGCACCAGCACATTACTGCTGTTCCATTGAGGGGTCAATGAAAGGAATCATTTAAAGCATACCTTTGTTGTACGAATAGAGCAGCAGCGCATGAAACAAAATCACAGATGGCGGTATTGAGAATAAGAACGGAGTATGTCGACAATTGTTTTGGAGTTCTTTTCAGTACTAGGAAGCTCAGAATACCATTAGCAACCAATCCAAAAATGCTCTGAGTTATATGTAGCATCATGCCGATCCAATGTAAAACATCCATTTTCTGAACGATGGAAGGGTAAAATCTGAAACTCGCTACAATAGTTTCTGGCCGTTTCCGGTAAAAAAAAATTCTTGACGAGTGAAAGAACTGTAAAAGGGGTGGTAGGAAAGATTTCGGGGTACTTTTAAACATTCAGTTTTTTTTGTTGCGAACTTTGTAGACCTTGGTCGCTGTCGTTCTATCCAGCGATGCACCGTGGGCTTCCCGAAAGAATACTTTCTTCTTAGCGAAAAACGATTACTCCTATCACATAAAACAAGCTAGAATTTGATGGACGACCCTTCAAATTGGTGATTTGTCGCGGCACGCCCCTATCAAATTTTTTGGACTTTCCAGCTACTTCCGTATAGCTTGGCTCTACAAACCATATACGCCCAGGTTGGGCAGAACCTCCTCTATGGTCTTACGCACGAGTGCTTCAATCAGAACTTTTGGCTAATCGGTGGACAACGTCCGATATCCGACCACCACTCTCATCATACCCAAGGCTCTCGCTTTCGTTACAATAACTTTTTGAACTACTGCTTCTGAGCACATTTATTGCAATCTAAGCCAAGTGCATTGTATTTCCTGGCAAATATCTTGACCTGCTCCCGCTACTTTCAGGTCTATTCAAAGCTAGAAAATAAATCATGCCAACTTGCTCATCGAGTATACCGCATTCAAGAGCTTTGAAAAAGCCATAAGGAAATGTTTCAGACAAAATGAGCTAAGAGTTGAATAGAGCAGCAGAAACCCTCCAGAATGATATCCATGCCGGATGCAGTTCCTTAGGATTTGAAGGACACTGAATCTGCAAAGGTGAAGTGTCGAAAAACGACAAACTCTTTGAAAGATCTAATACTATAATGAAGGCAGCGTGAAGCGGACACGTCTAGACGTGAAGCAGCGCTTTTCCCTTCACAGAGCCTGAAGCCAGCAACAGTATACAAAGAAGGGGTCAATCCTCGGGTAATGATACCTTGCAGCGCTTCGGAGAACGCGAAAACTGCCTCAGTTTCTCTCAGAACTCAAGCTGTTAGTGAACTGATTTGTGGGAAACGCTAGATAACGCCCTCTTTCATTTTCTCATTTCGTTCTCGTTACGTTATCGATTGCTCTGAGAGATTTCAACAATTTTAGCGTTGTTTACACATATCCTACTCGGTCTCATACAAAGGAAGTCAGTTCACGCGAAAGCAAACGAAGTTACCTCCTCAAAAATACAACCCGCGTATGGTAACTTTAAGCACTCCCCACGAGAAAAGTGGAATTTGCCTTTTCCGAACTCAACAGTAGCTTTGATACTGCCTAAAAGTATAGCGCTTAATTATCTTTAATCCCCTCCCTACGAACGTCGTGTAAGTGTAGCGCCATACTCAAAATTCTGACCTCATGAAAAAACACATCAGTGGTCATTAAGAAATAGCAAAACTAGGAAAATGTTCCATATTCTCACTTGTTCTTGGAAACCAGTAACGAACTTTCTTGGAAGTAGGACAGGTCCATGATGTTGAAACTTATATTTGTGGGGATTTCGACAGGAACTGGGATTTTTTTCAATATGATATCGTTCAAGGAACCAGACAAAGTGTCTCACATCCGCAAATGGGTTCCCTTTCAGAAATTGGAATTTGAATTAGTTGCACGACATTTAGAGGCTTGAGTACGCACCGGATGTCCTGCTCAGTCCGTGGACGACACCACTTCATAAAATTCTTTCTATAAAAAAGGGCGGAATATCAATCATTGATCTACCTCGTACTTAGCTGTGATTTCTTTTACACACCCAGTGAGTTTTTATTGGGACTTTCAGAGAGCGCTGCGTTTATGGAATGATAATGTCTTTCAAATCGTTTTTTAGTGCAGCGATGACGCGTGCAGCCTCTCCTACGTGTAGCACACGTGCACCCTTTCAGCTAACCAGGAAGGTCTTTCAGGACATGGAGCCCTTTTTGAAAACGGTTTTTTGCATGATAAAGGGGCACATGCATGGAGTACAAAACTAGGCTCCATTTTTTCTGAGCGGCCCTCCTGAATGCCAAAAAAGGTATGAAAAATCGGTCGAGGGATCGGTCCCGGCTGATGACAAAATTTTGCATTTCATGTTAGCGCCTGTTAAATGACTCCAAATGTTGCCGCCGATAAAAATAGGTACTGTGCTTACAATCAGGGTCATCATCAACCTTTCTGATTATTCTGCCCAGAATTGGGGCGAAAATTGTATGGCGCTCAAGCGGCGCCGAAATGGTGCCCGATAAGGCTAAAATGGCGCATCCATCAAAACTTTCGCGCCTGTCGCTATCTATCGCGCCTCCATCAAAAATGGACGTCAGATTCGTAATCAGCGCCTTATAATTACCCTTATAGCCGCAGTTTTAGAGAAGATCAAGATTTCGGCCCGAATTCAAAAATTGGGCCATGGGTTAGCCCATAGTCAGTACGGCATGCACGCTTCCCACTTGGAGACAGCTTCGAGATGATAGCAAGCGGCACGTTTGGTTGATAGTTACACTTCCACCGCAGTTCCTGCCCATGGGGCAATCTGGCATCACCCTTGATCTCGTCGATGCATGGCGTATGCCTGGGTGGGCACTGGCTACGTCGACGAACATGCTGCAAAGAGAATGACAGCTGTACTTTTCTGGCGTTCGTTAGATGCAGTTGGTGTGATCCGCGTCTGTGATTCAGATGCTTCATTGAGTTTTACCATAACTGCTAGTTATTTATTGCTTGTAAACGGAATTTGTACACAACTGAAAAAAACAAATTGTAAATATCATGGTACTACGAAATATCGCAGAATTGTGGGAGAAAGTTCTTGGAAATGACACCTATAGGCTTTAAGTTCACGCGCAAGCACATGCAAATGCAAAAAAGTGATAATCGGAAAAATGCAAAAATCCGAGCATGGAGGGGAACCGAACCAACAACTTCGAACAAACCGTGCCAAACCAGAGTCCATCACGCCTATACTACACTGCGACCATACCGGACCAACCCCGTACGTCGAATAGCTCGCACGATTATGCATGCAAAACTTCCTTGGCATTTAGCACTTATTATGGACGGTCTTAAGTTTGGCCTATTTCGTTCGCCTGTTAATTCAATCTGGGCTTGTGACAAGGAAACAGATTTGGCTGCCTTAAAGGAATCTTGCGCGGAAAATTCTTGCACTCTTTCCTAACATGAATATGTCAGTTGTGATCACTGGAAATAGCACACAAAGTTTCACGCATGAAGATTCGGTTTCTGAAGAGAAACAAACGTACAAAAACTACACGTTATGGACCATCGAAGGACCAGGAGGCAGAGCCAGGCGAGGCATGGAAAGAAGACGGCGTTTGGCCGGCTACGTACCAGGCGACGCAATGAGAGAATCGGGTTAAAGCGCGCGATTTCGGAGAGTGGAGACAAATCGATCGATGGAATAGGATGGAGTAGAAGTGTAAGATGTGAATGCAACGAAGCAGAAGCCAGAAAGAGCTTCTAGTGAATGCACTCCAAGAACCAAGTTTGAGCATCCCCGTGGGCAATTCGAACGCGTAGCAGCCTTTTCGAGTTTTCGAATTTCTAATCAAAACGAAAGCAATACTTCAGTTCTTTTCACTATTATCGTGGATAATGAGTCTCAAGCCAGTGATTTATGGCTGAAATAGAATCATGATTTTTCCGCGCAAGATTCCTTTAACATTATGAGTGATATAAACGACGTTGAGGTGTGAAAACTTCTAAAGAAACTTTTTCCTCCTTCTTTTGGCATCCTAGATTGCCGCTCAGAAAAAAGAGTAAGCTGTGTGTGGTTGTGCCGGGGTACTGCTGCCCATATCATGCAAAAACCGTTTCCGAAAACAAGTGCGGCTTCACAGACCTGAAAAGACCCTTGCTGGTAATAAGTAAGAATTCTTTAGTACGCTTCCTCTTGAATTGACAATTGGAGTTGCCGTTGGCCGGCAGATTACAATATGTAAACTCGCTTTTCGATGGACTTTAGATGAATACAGATCCAATGTTTGTCCAACAAACTGACGAGATGCACCGGAAACATCAAGAATTGTTGCTAAGAAGTAGAAAGTAGAAATGATCCTATGTCGGCGCTCAGCCACTACAAAGGACACCGCAAACGGATTTGAACGATTTGTTCTGCCATACTTTGCTTCGTACAACGCACTCATACGATCTCCCTCTCTCATCAACTTTCACTTTTTCTGTCATCTCGCGGCGCAGAACTCACAACAAAAACACCAAACAACCAACAAACAGTACTGCCTCAGCAAATTCATACTTTTTCAAAGTTAAGGCGACTCTAAAATAGAAACTAAGTTACGACTCCTATCAGATCTTCATAACAGCGCAGACTAGCCTCGACTGAAATGCCATCTAGTCTTCTTGCTGGCAGTCACCTAGTGCACAAGAACAGTGGCACAAATATCAAATACAACTCCCAAAGGCACTTAAGAATTCATCTCACTACCTTTTTTCATGCACTCTTGCATCCACTCTCTTTGGGGGTGTTAATTGCAAGTATCCACTGATACGAGGTAATGCATATATGTATGTACTGATAGATAAGTGGTACCTGCAGTTTAATGAAACGAACTAAAATCTTCAGAATTTCCGAGACGCTCTAATGCCAGGTCTGAGTAGCCTTTCTTTGCAGCAAAAATTTGCATTCTGCATTTCCAAAGGGTAAGAGTGCATAACTAACACTCTAAATCTTTAATGTGGCAATGAAACTCTGCTGAATATTCTGCTCGTGTAAAGCAACTTTATCAACCTAGTAGGTCGTAATAACGAATATCACATCGTATCACAGAAAGCCCCTGCCTACAAAAAAAAACTTAGAGGACACTCACAAACAGGGACAGCGAAGGCATATACATCAGGATAGTAATGAATATAACAGTGCTGCTCTTCGGCTTCCGATGCCATAAGACGTAATAACGATATGAGAAGGAGTAGACTAAACTCCATAGTCCCGTGCGCATAACAATGCATCATCACGGCGCATCTACAAGGTG